ATCACTGACTGAGACTAGTGGATCAGTTCTCATCGTCTTTTATGAACGGAATACCCTAAGGCATGGGGAGTTCCCTCTCAGGAGGAGCGGAGTCGTCGTCAAAGGATTATCATGGAATGCTGACTCATCAGTTTTAGTAGTGTGGCTGGAGACTAACGATAAAGACAAGAAGTCATACAGTAAATTACGATATACTCTATAGCACTTTAACTTGACTGAGTTTTAATTTGGTGATTGGCGATTTACAACCAATCATTAATGTCCATGATCAGTAATGTACCAGTTTATTGTCGCAGTGAAATATTTTTGCGAATTTTGTAGTTTCTTGCTCCATTGCAAAATTATAAATCATAATTATAATCATAAAAATTATAACCATAATTGCTAAAATGAAGTGCTATACAGTAATCTACATGTATGTTTTTCTTTTTATTAGTTCAGCTATGGTCTGTTAGTAACTATCACTGGTATCTTAAACAAGAGATACAGTCGCCAAAAACCACACCTACTGATGAGACCACGCCCACTCATTATACAGGTGTTGTATGGGATCCAATTGTACCATTACGTCTTCACACCTTGCTGAATAGTAAATCAAATTAAATTATTTTAATTATTAATTTTTATTTTAGATGGTCAGTATATACAGTATAATTGGAAGAGGGGTGTGGTCACCAGTACCTCGTTAAATGTTAATAATAATTCAACAGTGGCAGTAATTGACGGAGGTATGATTAATTAATTAATTAATAATCATGAATATCATTAGAGGCGTTATTATTGACACCTTTTCGTGACGTTATCGTTCCTCTCCCAATGAGTCATAAGCGACTTGTGTTCCCGTCTCCTGTTGTCATGGCAACTTTTGCCCCACCCCCTACCCCCAACGACCTCCTTATAGTGTTGTCTGATGGATCAGTCTACGTTGCAAAGTCCGGCACTAAGATGGAGTACACCTTAACTAACCTCAGGTATGATTGATCATTATCATCTTCGTTAATGTGACAATTCTTACCTCAAAGTAGGTGACATTTTTTAACTTAAAATGTGATTTTTTTCAACCTTAATTTGGGCCACAATTTTTGCCTAATTTTTACCCCAAAGGGGGCAACAGTTTTCAGGTAATTTTTACCTCAGAGAAAGTCGGAATTTTTAATTGAAATTTGATGATTATTACTTAGAAATTGGTGACAAAGATTCATTAATGTCTTGCTATTAGATTTCCTTGTATGATTGTTGTTGTTGTTATTATTATTATTAGGTTTCCTTGTATGGAAGGTGACGATTTTTCTATTCATAAGTTGCGTCAGATTGTGTGGGCGGCTGATGGTTTATTGGTAGGTGTGGTCAACAAATCATGTGATGAAGACTCTATTGCTGAATACGAAATTAATGAATCCTG